AAGTTCTGGCTATTAACTACAAGTTCTCTCCAAGGTGTTTCGGGTCGTGAGCCTTGTAAACAGTAAGGCGTTATCTTATTGACATCTAGCCAAGGTCGGCCCATAGCATAAAACAAAATTGTTAGCTTTACAACCCCGAAAGTTATTATATATTGTAATACAAAATGTCTAAGTAACTTTTTTACCTGTGTCGAAAAAAGGTCAGTTATTTTGGCGGCCTATAATAGTTCCAATATGGTAAAGCGAATGCTGTTAAAGGCATGTATTTTATCCAACGTTTTATCAACTATGGCAAGGGCCAATAGGTCATCTGGCATTATTACAGTTCCAGTATGAGTCCGGGTTTGATGTTCTAGATTTCGGCGTCCGCCTTCACCAGGCCCACAATGCGTATTTGTGTTATTACCGGTGATTTGAACTAGGACAAGCTTCGCTATCAAAGCTCGGGCTTAGCTAATATATAACGGCTCTCTTAGGTCGCAATGCGTAATCGACTTCTTTCTTTTAAAAAGAAGGGGCCTAAGAATTCAGATGGTGTGGTATAGAGGAGGGTGGACCTGTATATGCCAACTTAGCTTCACGGTATTGTTCAAACAAATCGACTGTTGGAGAGAAAAAAATTATACCAGTAGAGTTACCACAGACGCTTCTGTTACGTGGCCTGAAGAGGCTCACTGCAATCGGCTTATTTAAAAAAATATCCATTGAGGACACCTTTTTCATTTTCAGATAGCCCAACGAGATGGATTTATATAGGTTATACGTAGAGCTATATGTGCTAATAGTGATTTCGTACGAAGAAGCCGGCCATTCTGCAAAACTAAAGGGAGAATCCTTTTCTCCTGGGAAAGGTCTGTGCTTATGGCTATAAACGACATGAGTACGCGTGGTCCTGGTCTAAATCTTGTATCTCTACAGTGAGTGGTGGCTTGTGATCGCCATTATCCACTCTGTTGTCTGTATGTAGATGGAACTATTTTGTTCCAACGATACGTTACATAAATAAAGTCGACAAAATTTATTTCAGAAGTATCTACATATGACAACAACGACATGTCATATGATATTAGCCTCTCAATTTATTTAAATTTCTCTGTGAATCTGGCATATACGACATCCTATACGCCTATGCGCTCAAACGCAGTGGTCCGCCTCATCCTGGCACTCAAAACCCTCTGGCCATCATGTAATAAAACTTACTGTAATGACTTTTATAAAGCGTAGCTTGCCTTCAGTTTGTGCTCTAACATCCAGCTGTGAAGGGAACGAAACTTTGCTAAAAGAGTTAGGTACGTCCCTTTCGTATAGTCGTTCAAAGATTGTTTGATTAGGATCGAAAGTCAACGTTCTTCCTACAACCTTGTATGTACATCTATACATGACAGAGGAACGGTTTGATAAAATACGTATCCCGTACTTATTATTATAGGACATAGATTTTTGAAAACTGTTGACATTTGCGAGAAGCAGTGGACAAGAATTTCCGTTTTTTCCTGTAGTCAAAAAAAGTAATTTGGAACTGAATTGTTTTTTCTTTTTATTTGTCTTTGAATCAACGTGCGTACAGATTTTAGATCGGTTTACAAAGTTAGTAAGCTCATTGCGAACTATGAACTATATGGTGTTTCTAGACGTACGTAAAAACGGTACATACATTCTCACAGATTGTTACTGTCCTTGGAGCCACTTGACCGATTAACCGGTTAGAAATGGCACAGCTCATTACGGTACATAATAGCCCGTGCTGCCTGCGCTGGCTGTCGTAGTAATGAAGGTATTTATATTTAGAAATCTAGTAACGCTCGAAGGCATGCAGAACAAACGGAAACTGTATCGTTTATTGAAGCCAGCTTTTAGCTCAAACCATTTGAAATCTACAGAAACTTTTCTTCATGGTTCGTAAATTGTTAATAATAGACATCTACGAAGTGATTATTCCTTGCTTTCAGTTCATCACGCAAACAGTGAAGCTTACGAAAACTACGTGTGAGGACATGTGAACTCAGGACTCAATGATTTTCATTTGTAACTGTGACTGTTTTCAAGTTTCCATGCTGCAACATGCAGAATTCGATGTAGAAGGCCGTTAATGGCTGACTAAAATGTTCGTGCTTGATAGCGCATCTTCCAATACACATGTTGTTGACGAACATTTTGTTGTTGATATGTTGACGAACATCCTGTTGCTGTTCATCACATACATATGCCCGTCCTTCCTCCGTTCAGTGAGAAAGGCCGATTATTGAACTGAGACAATAAAAAGAACTGCTGAACTTGAGACAGGATTTTGCCCATAACTACCGCTTGATTTGTTTATGAAGTTTTCTGCTGACAGCCGTCTCGCGGCAAGCCTATGGTGATCGTTATAGAAAGCCTGAACGGACGACATACGTAACAATGCATTGTATCATACGAAGCGCAGTGAGGCAGTGAAGCAAAATACTTAGCTCCGTGCCTAGGCCATGCAGTAGAACGTCATTTTGACGTTTTTTGAACGTATTTGTTATTTTTTATACTGAAATGCACCTTGGGCCTATCAATGTGCGTGTGTGTGCGTGCGTGCGTGCGTGCGTGCGTGGGGGCTGCATCTGCATTCGTGACATTAGTGCGATGATGAAGTTCTTTTGCTATTTCATTGCATTGCAGAAGTCTCTTTTTTCGATTGTCGTACTACAGTCACAGCGAGTGAGGTGTCTGTCGCGTGTCAGCCCTGGAAGAAGCATAGACCTAACGCCACCTAGAATTTCCAGCGACCACATCTCTGATTGAGGGAGCATAATCGGATGATACTGATCGTTACCCACAGACGGAAACTTAGATTACGGGCGGTGTCGTTTGACAAAAATAGAATCATCCGCCTAACGGAGCGTTTGTGAGTGTTGACTGCCACGCCGGATACCCTGGAGCGATATTTATCATACTGATTGGTTCTTTTTTCTTCGGGTAATTAATGCTCAGCTGGCAATCCCAATCTATTGGCGTTGGGGTTGACGAGCCATAATCACATACAAACGTCTGACCGCTTCTGAATTTCTATTGCGAACGGCATTTTTGTAGCACTCGGAAACTAATACGATAACATGTGAGCCTTCATTCGTAGCTATGAGCTCGTCTGAGCGCCCACATTTAGCTGGCAGGACTCAGCTGATATCGGTATGGCTTTCAGCCTGCCACTTGTCTGTCAAAAGCATTTTTGCTTAATGTACATAAAGCTTTATTTCGAATGCTTTCGATACAATAATTTAGCGTTTAACCATATCAAGAGTTCTTGTCTTTTTCATGAACAGTTTAGTCTTTGTTGTTCGTTTTAGCACTAAGCGGACATGGCATTTTATAATGCCAAAGTAATCCGTTTACCGTTTCAAAATTAGCGCCTTCAGCCGAATATACGGCCGATTCAGCTGATTATTGACGCCACTATTTGTCAAGTATAAAATTTTCATTGACCATCATTTTGTTCGAGTGAGAATTTTCAACTTCGGCCTAGTTGACGTATAAGAAAATAGGACACTTCAGTAAGCTCGTCTTGTACGCATTATATATTTTATTCGAGAACGTTTCAACAAAGCCGCAGCTGCCAACGTACGTCATTGTTGGCTACGAATACCTAACATCGCTATAAAAATATGATGCCTACACTGTCAACGACCGAGCTTCGTCTGATTACACGACCTTGCCTAAAGGTAAATGTCGTGCGTCGTCCTGCGGGTATGGAGGATGTGATGTTTATGCGCTACCCGTCTCTCCCGGGAGATCGATGCAGGGGATCGTGGAGAAGGTGTTACCTGAACTGCGGTCCTAATAATAATCTACGAGACAATGGGGGAACTTGTTAAAAAAGACGTATTAACCTACCATAAGATCAACAGTTGGTAATTTGATCTATGGAATACATAGTCAGAAAGACCAGCTACTCAGTCGAGATCATCCGGATATAACTGGTTCGACATTCATCCTGTGGAACAAGATGTATATAATATATATAGTTTCTCATCTCATTTGTATAGTATTTTCGCGTATACTTTGAGTTGTCGAGCTGGATGGGTTTACAGTCAGGTGATATGGGTCAGTTTTGATGCCGTTGATGCCGTTTAAAGGCAAAGGTCTGGCAGTTCGCAGATGCGCTAAAAGCGTTGGAGTGCCTTTATTTGGACTTTAGATAAAGAGCCTCGAAAATGGGTAAAATTTCTGCCAAAATTTGCTATACTACAGATTTATTAGGGCAAAGTACCGCCTAGACTCGTAAATAAGTTATGCTATTTATGGTCTGAATGCGTTGTCGCAAAGAACGGTCCACAGACGGTTCTGTCGCTCTTGTTCTGTAAAGTGTTGATGAAGTACGATAGAAAAAAGTTGATGGAATTGTTGCGAAGGTCAAACAAGACTGACACACGAGTAGCACGATATCGCCAAGGGGCTGAACAGTCACCACCAAACAAATGTACCACTGAATCAATGTTAACCGTTCTATATGCGGATGTTGTCTGTATGCGTAATGAGCATAATGTGCCTGTACGATCTTATAACCCATTTCTTTCTGGCTTTTCGACTAAACATTTGCTCTAATTCAATTAGAGTCCAATTTTTGACGTCTGATATTTCTCGCTGTTGTTGTTGTTGATTGTTCGTTATCATTAGAGTGAGAACGGTCTGATGTTCAATGGAATGAACTTTCTCTTTCTGACTGCACGAGAAATGCACGACGCACGTTTTTGTTGATACGGTACTAACTGTGCGTATCCGGAAGAGTAATAACCATTAATAAGGATAAGGAAGCTAATCTTCTTTACGACTTAGCCTAGCAACGAGTAAGAATCCAAATAGTTATTTTCTGATTCACCTCAGATTACTTTGGGCGTACCTCTGGGCTACACATGGGCCGCAGTAGCAATTTGATAGATTCACAATAGAAATTTAAATAAACTACGTATCCTCGTTAGACACATGTCGTCCCATAAGGTGTCTCTCTAATATCTCTTTTTTTAACCATAATTTTGCAGAACATTAAACGCTAAGACATGGATGGCTCGTAAGACCATAACTGATACGAAAGACTGAGTGACCTCGCCTCGATATAGTAGTATGTTACAGCCGTTTTGCCGCTCGCATTGGCCTGCAGCCAACAAGAATTCCGCAGAAAGAGGGTTCCGGAAAACGGTACTTGGCCGGCTCTTTTTAAAGTTGTCAGGTACAAAATGGAGATGCACCAACTCGGCGGAGCTAGAAATTGGATATGAGCCAAGTAGGATCTTCTCCCTTTCTCTCTCTCTCTCTCTCTCTCTCTCTCTCTCTCTATATATATATATATATATATATATATATATATATATATATATATATCTTTACCACCTACGTAGTTTTTAGATGACAGCAAACATAAGGTGTGAAAAAGGCAGGTGGCAGTAATCTATTAGTCAAATACGTCTTGTTAGTTGAACATATTTAGGTAGAGGCGTTCTTCTTCAGAGTATTATGTGTAAATCGGTTGATTAATCCTGACTATCATTTATATAGGCAACACAGCTCACGCGTAAATCATTTCAATTTTGAAGATTAGCTCAAACGCGTCGTTTTGTATACGCACTATCGGTTTAATGGTAGAAGCGTGATGGGCCTGGTGCGGCAAGATCCGCAAATCGTCGAGAAAAATGTCCCATTTAAATTTGGACTTTGGCAAATTGTTTGTTGTAGCAAGCCACTATTGATGGTGTCGAAGAAAAGCTTTCTCTCTCACACAAAATGACCAACTCGTCACGGCGAAAAACAACGCATTGCTTTCGGAATTTGAACGAAGCTCATCCGTTCCGGGATCGCTAACTTCTTTCTTTTTCTTTTTTAAAAATCGACGATTTACATTATGCTCCGTTTTCCAGAAATCTTTTCTCGGAAAATCCAAAAAAGGCTTCTAGGATTCAAACCAGAAGAACTTCAATGCAATTTTTTTCCATGTAACGTATTCGATCGGCACTTTAATGAGGTTACATTTATCAATATAGCCCAACGCACGGTTACTGTGGAAAAGCTACCTTTGGACTATAGAAGAACCATGTTGAAAATTCGTCGTAAGAAGCTTTGGCAATGAATTAAAGATGTAATCGCGGTAAATAACAGCTAGAATAAATAGACGTGATCTTCTGGAATAATACTTTTAGCGTGTGCAAAATATTTAGCCGAATTATATTTTTTTCCCTTAGATACAGCCGTAGAAACCGCTCATAAGGAAAAATTCGAATTATGTGCCCCCTGTATGTCGTCTGCCTTTTTTGTTACATTTCAATTAGCTGACGTGTAAGGACCCTTGGAGTGGCGACAGCCGGTTGGTCAACAACAAAACGTTGAGACAAGATAGGTGTGGCCTTTGGCAACAGTGGGCGTAGGAGGCAAACAGTGAAGACAAGACTAAGAGGCGCCATCCCTATTGCAGCTAATCGTCTTCGATGTCGATTTGGAAAATTTAAAGGCGAAACAAGTAGTCCCGAATAGAAAAATTAGTCAATTTCTATCGGCGATGCCTTTGATAACCACCCTCAGCGATTTGGCCGCGTTCACGTAGCAAGCCTGTTATTCTGGTAGCAGTTCAGGCACTTTGTTTGTGCTGTGGAAGGCCTAACGGTGGACGGCATGTGTAGAGGAGAAACCGAGCCTGTTTGGTCTCGGTCCGATTCATGGACTTACGTCACAGTATTTAATAGTTACTTTGAATATACTGGAGAACATATATAACTGTACGCTTCACTAGAGGATGCTGGCTAATGGTTAGTGGTTATCCAGTGAAACCACAATGTTTGTAGTTTTGTCGACATCGATTAATTGTCAGAGTGATTCCGGTTAGTTAATATCTAGCTGTTGTTATGTGATCTTATGGATTGAAGCGGGGCAATGCTAATGAATCTGCTATTGCTGGTAGTGGTGGTTTTCTTCTTGTCTGACAATGGCGCTTCGATTTACGTTCTGAAACCCATATATATGCGCATGGATAATATGGGTAAAAGCTACATTTCGGCACGATTTTTTTTACCGATAAAAAGCTAACCAAATGTTTATATGAAGAGTCCATGTAAGCTAAATAAAAGCTCAACGCACGTCTTCTAAGTTGATTTTCTTTTTGCATGAATCAGGCAAAGACCTGAATATGGTAGCTGTTTCGCGAGTGCGACTTTCGAACTACACAGACATTTACCTATGAAATAGTTATTGGTACCAGTCATTTCGCTAAGCTGAATCGAAATATAACTTATTTTGCCTTATGTAAACCTCAGTTTCCATATCCGAAATACGGTTTGAAAAAGCATAAACTTAAAATGGTGCTCTATGCAATGGGAATCTTTCTTGACGCCAGCCGACAGATCATAACGAGCTAAGCAAAACTGCAATTCATATTGGTCAACATAAAATTTTCAGTGAAAATGAAGGAAACTACATCAGTTGTACGAATTTACCTCTGTTTGGACTGGATTTTAGAGTGATCTTCTAAAAAATTGTTGAAGTAATTAATTGTTTTCATATACTTAGAGAAAGATGCTAAATTATTCCATCATTAGGAAAAAAAAAATCTTCACGTTTAGGAACAGTGTTAGTATATCAATTAAAAACTATCAAGTCACGATCAACTGTTTATTTTTATTTAGTGTACACATGTACAGCTATTTATTCTGTTATATTATGCATTATTATGTTAATTCTTCGTGGTGTCCAGAAGTAAAGCACATACATGAAAAAAATATAAATAGATACATTCGTTTAGTCGGATATATAACTGCTTATTATAAAATAGGAAATCTCAAAGCATGCTCAGTCTGATGACTTTCCTCATTAGATACTGTATGTATAATTATTTACTATATAAAGGAACAAGATTAATAAAACAGATGAAAAAAATTATTTAGAACTTGGTAACGTTCTTGGTAACAAGCACGCCGATCCTGTCAACTGCAGCGCCTGAAAATCGGCCGATAGTTGATTCTGTTCACGTACGTTTCGATAACAAAGTTAATCCAAGGCCTCGACAGGCGGCGATCAGCCAGTACTGGAGAAGTTGCGCACATTTCTATAATGTGCTTACATTATGGAAGTGTACCGAGGGCGAATACACCACGAGGGGAAAAATCTAAAGTTTGCCGGACCCTCAGGAGAGGCCAACTCTTGCAAACGTATACCCTTTATTAAGCAACTTAGCTATTACAAAGTAAATATTTGCTTGATCCCTGCCTAGTGCGTGCATGTTAGTTATGGGAAATATTATTAGTAGATATCGTACAAATGCCTTGAAATAGGTTTCTCCACCACACTCTCCTTCAACATTATGATGCCATGTGATGACGATAGATGCACTCTTTGTAGATGTCGACCTCACCATCAGATCACCTCAGATCCCCATGTGAAACTAGCTGCTAGTGATAAAAGGATTGTCACGACATGAGGATTTTTAGAGGCAAGTCGAATGTCAATAAAGTGCCAATTTATTCAGTATGTTCAATGTTCATTACACTATAGGTTTATCTGTAATTTTTACAGGTCATCCGCTCGCGACAACCATGAATGAGACGATAACCATCCTCTCGGAAGCTCTCAGCACAATGATGAGCCCGCTAAGCCCCCTGGGCGGTGGAATAGGGGCGGCCGTGGCTGGAAACGAAACAGGAAAGGTTGTACCCGTGCCATCATCACGTGCGTGTGGCGCCTGGAATACAGGCCAACATAATTTATTCCAAACCGCTGAAGTTGCCCTAATCCTCGGCAGTTTGGTACCACATCGGTCTGTTAACCTTAATTATTGTCATGATTATTATTGGTGATGAACCGTCGATTTCACACACACAATAACTGTTGTCTATAGTATTCGACATCATTCTAAGGTAGATAAACACAATCAAATTGCCAGCACAAATGCCAACATTGTGTGTATCTTGTTTCTCTGCTTTTTATAACGGGATCAATGATATGGCAGATTCCAAATGAGCACTTTGGGCGCTCGTGGCCTTTTCACAGTTGCCTTTCTACTTTTGACCGGTTGGGGAACGTTTGTCGTCTGTGCCTGGGACATTACACTTTGGAGCCTGATACACCTGTTTATTAATGGTGTATATTTTTCATTTCTACTTTGGAAGGTAAGTCGTGCCGTCAAAATTTTATCCGTAGTTGTGCCTTTTTACAGCACTATGTAGCTACTGCATTCACACATAGAATAAACAATGGTTGAATTTGATTGCTTTTCCTGCTCTGGTAATATATTTTGATGAAAGCGTGATTACTCATAAAAGTGCCTTAGTGAAACTCGAACTTTGCAAACAAAGTTCAAGCATATCTTTGCGTGTAAACGTATTGAATAATCATTTATCTGCCGTCGTTTCGTTCGTTCCAGAATATTCCACCTCCCGTCGACGGCGATCTCCGACCACTTTATGAAAAATCATTTCAGCCACTACTCGTGGAGCGAAGACTTTTTAATAAGTTGGTCAAACATGCAGTTAAGCTTAAACTTGAAAATGGCAAACGATACTCTGTAGAAGGTAACTCGTACCCTGTAAGAAGAACATTACCATCAAAGACAGAAAGATTTACCTGAAGGAAAATTTTAAAGAAAAGTTTGTTTTCAAATGTAGCCTCTAAAATGTTCAGATCCGTAGCTTATTTTCTTTACGAAGTTTTTTCGACATTACATTTGACGTCATTCAGCGCATTTAGGCGCAAACGGTCGATAATAGAACTCCACACGGATCTTTATTAATGTTCTCTCGTTGAACACACAAAAAGATTTATGAGCCTCATCCATTGAGTTTCTAAAATAGCCCAAAAACTACTAGCCATAACGCGCTTCGAGACTAACATGGCTAATATGATTAGAGCATTTCTAATTGCGAACTTTATTATGACTGTGATCAGGGATTACGATGGCGGATGAGAGAGTATCAATACTCATCTCAGGACGACTTCAGGTTACGTGCGAAGGTGTCCTTCTACATTACATTCAACCATGCGAATTTGTTGATTCACCAGAGTTTGAATCCTGTCCTTCGGGTACGTTACCCAAAAACAAATCACTAATAAATTTACCGGGTGGCAGACTTGATTATGCAGTCTTTTTCGCCAGCTATTTCGTTCCAAATAAGTTTGCTTCATTTCTTAACATTACAACGTCCGCTAACTTAAGCTAAGTTAAGCTGGCTTACTCACGACGAAATATTGTTAAGAGAAAATACCTTAAGACTACTACTGCTGCACTCAGCGTTTCGTCTTACTATATTTTACAATGAAAACCCATTTGTTCTTCGTTGGGTTTGATGTTTTCAGGAAGTGAAAAAACGAGTCAGGTGACGATAACGGCAGTGGAGTCTAGTGTTTATCTTTGCTGGACCAGAGAAGCTTTTGCGAACGCTCTCCGCCAAAATGAGTTTTTAGATAACGTTGTCTTCAACCTTATCGGAAAAGATATAGCGCAGAAATTGTATTCCCTCAACGAATTCCATAGGTAGGGTCACCGCTTCACAGGCGCCCTCTCTGTACTAACTACAAAGGCTACGCCTCTTTTAGATGAAAATGATCTATCGCTTGCAACTACACGTTAAGTAATTTTTATTGCTATTATTAACATATACAACTACTTCCGTAATTCAAATTGATTGGCCACTAAGCTACTTGTAGAAATAGCCTTTGTCGAAACAGCGTTTCCGTAGATGGTCAAGGTATGATCGCATATGCTATATGTATTCCTCCAAACCGGTAGGTGTAGCAAATACACGGGCATCATATGTTATGCCTTCACCAAATTTCTGTTCAGAGGACGGGGATTGTAAGGTATGGTGACGATGCTTGTTTGACGTATGGCAATGCACAGCGGTCAGCAGACCATCAGATGTATACAAATGTGATTACCGGAATAAGTGTTTTTATACGTTCAGGCGGGTTTGATAAATTGTGTATGCTTTAAGCTGGGTTTCAGCTAGAACATACACGAATATTCGAAAAGCATCGTCTATAGGTTGGTATTCGCTTTTGACTATACTTGTTGTTTCCAACATGTTGAATCGGCGTTTACCGCTGCATACGCCCCGGGGCTTTCTGACCCTATATAAAATCATTACAATTTTCGAAAATGCTACCGCGGAAACCGTCCACTGTCTGCATCGAGGGCCTCGTTGATGCCCGATAAGCATAACGGTAGCAGTCAAAAGCCGTTGTTTCAGCCAGTGCATTAACAGCTGCCGAACCCTCATCGACAGGCCACCCATACGTCTTCATTGTCCTTTCCTGAATCCTAGGCCATTAATAGAGGAGGCCGAATTACTACCTATTAATGGAAATTATTTTGCTGTTTCAATTCAATTCGTGATATGCAGACTTGGTGGAAGCGGGATGTTGGTCCTTCGCAAGGAGCAGGCTGATTGGTGGCGCTCACCTATTCCGCGGTCAGTTTCCGTAGACGCTGTAAACACCGAAGCCAGAGGTCGAGTTCGATCGCTATGCTGGGCCAAAGACATTACTCAAGATAATAATTCATCGCCCAATCAGGCAATGTCTGATTCGTACGGTACGTACAGTATAATTAGTCAGGCGGCAAAACAGAGCAGTATCTAGATTGTTCAGAGGTCTAAGGTGGTCAACAAACAAACAGCTAGCCCTTATTCTCCGCGTAGACGCTGTTTCATCTACACAGAAACGCAACATGTCGACAGTGTTTGATGTCTCATAGCAGTGCAATGTACACAATTCTGTTACGCTTTTATGTTGAGCTTTTTATGAGTAAGCTATTTCTAATAGCTGCAGAATTGGAATAGTTCAACTATGTTCGATAGCATAAATAGGTACAACTTGAAAGTATAGCTCGTTACGTTATATTTAAGTTAGCTACTAACTTAAGCCGTGTAGATAGTTGTTATGCGAGCTGTGCTCTATTGGCAACTATACTTGTGATGAACTTTAACGATAGCTATGCTTTGTCTGTTTGAACTTACTACTTTTATAGTCTAACAACAATAACTTGACGTCTAACTACAATAGGGGCGTCCATATTTAGCGTAACCATTTCCATTTTGTTTACTGACTTTGCTTTTTTTGTAAAACGTTATGTGCACATTCTTCACCCATATGCTTGCAGTAGCGAATTTCTGCCAAATCAATATTTTTGTACATGTTGGTTCAGTAGACATTTCAATTCGACCGAAGCGTGTGTCTGTTTGCTGAAGTATACATAGTCACTTATTTGAGAATTGTCGTCTAAGCTATAAGATTGCATTGAGCTGCGTCTTCAGCGACAACAGGTCTTATATGCTTTATATTTATGTATCTAAGTATTGATGCTTTATGGTATGCTTAAGTTCAAACAAATCAACCCTCAAAGCTTTTCCATTTTCATAGTCGTCTTGTTTTTTGCCCCTATGTCATAGCTACTTATAATGAGTAAACTAAAAAACTTCAAGCAGACGACTGCTCCATTTTAAGCTGGTATTTTGTATCTATACCCAACAGCACATCGTACCGATTCTGTAAACCGTTTAAAAAAATGTTATTCCGTAATTCTCTACTTTACCAACCATCTAGACGCTCTACGATCCGATCGGTTCTTTCTTGCTGCACAAATTTTCAACCTGTGGAGCGTCGAAAGTTATTTGTTCATTTCAAACATGGCGCTTCTGATCGGTCTTGATCATCCAACTAACCTTGAGTCGTTAGAATTTTTGCATACTGAAACCTTCGAAGTCATGCACTATCTTCCATGGAAATGGAAGTGCATGCTTTCGCCACTCGTCTAGCTTTATCACTCAACCGTTTATCCTTCATCGAATCTGTCTGCTAGGTTCGTTCAACTGCAGAGACTCCTACCACTGCGTTTACGACATTTTTGTTATTCGTAGCTTAAGTTCGCTCAGTTATGTTCAAGTGTATTAGTTTCATTTGCGTGCCAGGATCTTTTCATTATGATTTAAAATCTAGTTGAATATATCGAGGAAACCATCGGAAAGAACTATGACACTAGAGTAATCAACGATAGGTGCGGGATCGATTTCTTTCACAATTCCACTTCGTCTTAAATGTCCCTAACGGGAATTCGAGTATTTTTTACATTAGTCATACCTTTCGACATTCTTGATTTACTACTGATCGTGCTAACGTATATACGTTACGGCCTCTGTAGACCAACGGATGAGTACTTGAGACAATGATAAACGAACCCTGTAGAGTAGTTACTATGTGTGGTCAGTGTCAAAGAGGTCGGTCCTAGCTAGCATTGGCCTTAGTCTCACTGTTCATTGCCAGCAGCAGCAAATACTGCGCGCCTCTAACGGTGCGTGGGTGCTTTACTGCCTCTTTCTTTTCTCTATTGCTGCCATCGTCGTCGCTGTTCCTACTGTTACTGCTTCTTGGCTCTCCTCGTGCTTCTTGCTACCGCGTGCGTGCGTGCGTACGCGCGCGCGCGCGCGCGTGCCGCTAACACGTTCGTTGCTCTTCTACACAACTACGGCTCTGCTCGTCTCTCCACGGCCTCTGACTTCGCCCTGGCCGGTGTACATCAAACAACTCGATCATTTTCACGCGGTGGTACCATCATTTCTGGTGCTATCCGGTGACGTCGGAGTGATTCCGTTGAACCCGACGTGGCGGTACTCCCTTCGTTGTACGATCGGCCCGTTATTGTGTGATCTCGGATCCCTGTCACCTATCACATGGCGCTATTGGGACGAGCCTATATGGTCACTTGCTAATGTTGTTCAATGATACTAATGTTATCTTTTTCGTATGCTTTATGTTATAACACGCGAGTATTATATGGGTTTTGGCTGTCACCATTTTGAGCGATGACTTCCTGTTTTCCCTCAATGGCGTATATTGTTGATTCCTATACTGAATGCTCATTTATTCATTCACTTATTGATGACGCTTGTCAATGTTACCACAATTTCCCATAGGGCGAAAAGTGTCGCCCCCGCTAAAACGTGCCCCAGCTGGAGGTACGTCACGTGGCCGACGCGGTCGCCGGATGTCACTAGCTGCCGGGCTAGCGAAATTGACGCTTTCACCTAAAGCTTCCTTAGTAAAGTTCAACGGGCTGCGTGCTGTTACAAAACTGCTGTCTCCTAATGCAGGGCGTAGAGATTCTGTCCGAGGGCATTCTGTACTAGAAACCCGCCTGTAGAGCTTGCTGATACCGCACTAGATACTGTTCATGAATGGCTCTGCTTGTGTCTTAATATACGCGCGTCTGTGTTCTGCTGGAGTAGGATTTGGGTCTATACTTCGAATTAAGCCCGAGCACACGTAGAAAATCAAACGAATGTGATTTTTAGGTAATATGGTAACAATAACAAAAAGCATACAGAAATTAACTGATACCAGAGTGGAAAAACGTTTTAGTTATGATTGATCAATAGAAGACAAGGCGAAGTTATGAACCAATGAATGCTAATATATATATATTCACACCATGCTTGCTCGGTCACTTGTTCTTCGAGGAATCACTTCATTTATTCGGTGTTATTATATAGTATCGCTATGGAATCATTTGCTTAAACAATCGGATAGTTTGGGTAAATTCTAACAGATTTTCAACGTTATTACGCTAATTTGCATTTGCCGCGAGGCGCCACATGAAAAATACGTTTGCGTTCCGTATTCCAAAGTGCAGCATGACAAGCAAGGAAGATCAGCCTGGACTATAAGCCTATATATCAACGCCCCTAGTAGAGGGGAGGGGACAGCGTCGGGCAAAGCAGTCTGAAAAAGACGCAACCATTTTTCAGCATCGATTGTATTTAGTATCGTCGTTTTGCAGCCATGTTTTGTTCTATTTGCAATTTTACTTGGCCAGAACCTTGGACTGCAATGATTTTACATGAATTTGCTACATATCAAATACTAGATCAGTTAAAAAGTGTGATTTTGTAAATTTCCCATGTTCCACTTCATGGATATGTAAAAAAAAGAAATTGCAAAGCTGTATTTTGAACGCAAGTGGTGCTACGGATCTGGCGGGTTAATTACGTCGTCATGCAGTAGCGTGGCAATGATTTAGAGATGATTACATATAGACCATAATAAACAGAAAAAAAACGTAGGCCTTTCACTAACCCATGGAAGCTCACACCCAAGAACTCTACGACTTTTTTGCAAACTCTGACTACATTGTCAAAAATACTGGTCGTAATAATGGTTGCTTCCGTCAAAATTGAAAGGACTATAGATTTTCATATTTGGCTGAGGACATATGTATGTTCCTGAAGTAGAAATGCCCGAAGAAACAATAGTTATTAATTGTTGGACGTATCCACTGTCCGAGTTAAATTTATGTGCTTACTCACAGGCGATTGGGTAGAGAGGAACGAAGTGTCTCGCTTTAACCAATATCGATTCGTGAAACGGTGAAATCACTTATGCTAACCTTCCATATTGTCTTCATGTTGGATCCGCTAAACAAACAATTGTTAACATATACGTAAGATACGTACTGCTTAGACGATGATCACGTTATTTTCTCAATGGAAAGCTGCGCCAGTGTGGGACATCTAACAATATAAAACATCCGAGTTAACGATACTTAACCGTCGTGTCTGTAGCCCAAACGAGAAGGTTCCAGGACACAATTCTGCCCCAGCTGAAGCCGTTGCCTCGGCCTGTAGTAACGAACCCAGCAGCTCCACGAGGCCCGGCGGCGCCTTCCAGTGGACTGATCCGGCAGCCATCGACACGACCGGGTGGCAAAGAACGTGGAGAAGAAGTGGAAATGAAACGCGTCAACTTTGCCGATAAAGCTAATATCATCTCTAATAGGTGCTAAATTAGAGTTACGATGACCGAAATATAGCAGGTCCGGTAGTAATCATTTCTACAAGCACCTCGTAATTTGCGGACTGACAACCGCAAATAGTAATTCCGCTCTTATAACTTTTTTTTCTAATATGCACCTCAACACTTCTTTCCATAAAGGAGTCGCTTATCTTATACACGGACCACAAACATAGAACCAGTTTGTCACAAAATAGGTACTCACTAGAAGAATATGTTTTTCAAGATTCCGTCTAGGAATCGCTCATGTATTTCGGCGTGATTGTTGGTGCGTTTATATATATATATATATATTACTGCTGCTTTTATATACACCAGGAGTAACAATAATTATAGCACGATGCTTGTATTTTAAGATGAAATCGAGTGACTGTAGGAGCAAACGTGTATGTGGATAGTCGTGTACGAGTAGAAGCTGGATTACGGGCCCAATAGTAATGTATATACCTTAGGTTGGTGATCGGGCGTACAAATTCTGTTCAACTTTACACATCGCCCTACATACCCAAAAAGCATATACTGTAATATTAAAGTATCTACTATTTTAGCCCGTCTCATTTGGTTCTCGCTACCGGTTGTGAGTCCTTCATCCAGCGGTCACTGTCTTTCGTCACACTGTGTTACTGTTGCAAGTTCCATTGACATTCTCAACGCCTACCTCTGATGTCGAGTTCAGTTTACGGAAAGATGCTACGGTTCCTGTCGGATTCATGTCGTTATTTAATACCGCGGCTATTTAATACTGCGGCACTTTGTCTTTATCTCGCGAATAGTTTCATATGAGCTGGGGAAAACCAATGGTTTAGCCTAAACTGAATTGAAAGTGTAACCAATGATTTGGCGTAACCCTTGTGCTGCGGAGCGTGAATCGATCAACTTTCTAATCTGTTTTGGGCACTTCAGTGACGAGCGAGGACTCGCCACTTTATATGCTACTTCGCCTGAAGCGACAATGGGGTGCCAATGGAAATTGCCGGTTTGAGCATTGTACGACCTCCGTTTTTTGTATCGAAGTTTGGTTGGCGCTGACGCTTCATACGAAAATCGCTTTGGAGCACACCGCTTTAAAATCGTAGAAACCCTTCATCGATTTGTAATATATTAGGTTTCTTCGGCATGTTACTTCGGACCACAGAGATTAAATCCACATACACATAATCAGCATGTTCTGCTGTAACGAGGTTAGCAAGGGGACCTTGCCCTTCGTTGTATGTTTGCTAGAGACACTTTGAAACATCTCGTCAAACAACGCTCGTTTATTCTACACGACGCTCATGAGTATTTCTCTCCAGGAGTTAACGTCGGGCGACCTGAGTTCTTCCTCTGAAAACTGATGTGCGACATTGTCTCTAAATTCCCACCTATTGGTCTTTACCACCTTGTTGTATATACCTATGAGATGCCTATCAACTCTCCGCACTGCCCGGTCCTCAGGCTATTGTTCTTGCATTTTCTGATGTTCTATGCCCTCGATCCACCTTTTCGGTTCGTTGCCGTCGATCTGGAACCCCACACTCCGTTCGCCCCGAGTTAGACGTTTTCCACGAAACTGCGTACAATTTTATCGATGCTAAAACTGTGTCGATGGTAACTTCGATGTTATTCGGGAGAGACTGGTTTTGCCAAGCTCTGAGCTATACCATAAATGTTCAAAACCCTTTATTTTAGTATCAACTGTCCAAGTATCTATATTAGCCTACAGAGACCAGAGGTCGCTGCATCAAGTTCCGCCATGGAGGTTACATCGGCCCATTTAAAAAAAAAAAATATATATATATATATATTATATAATACATACACACTTTCCTTGTGTGATGTCTATTTTTCTTTCAAATTGAAACAAGCGTCAAGGGAGGGAGGTGTACTAGCGGAACATACTAGCTTTGCATATATACAAACACAGATACAAAACAAATGTGTACGTTTTTCTTTTACACCCCTGTGTTTGTGTTAAGTGTTTCCGATTGTAGTACAGACGCCCCCTATTACTGTAATAACAGGATTTATACCTACCGCATGTGCACAGACACACACGCACACACGCTCAAAATGGTATTAATATAGCGTCCTCGAGAAGATATTGGCCGTTTTAGGCCAAAATTAAAGCAAATTTGGTCTTATATTTTGCTAAATATATGCTATTTTGGATGATAGTCTCTTACAATGTTTCTGGTAGCACAATAATCCCATCGCTGTAGAATTTCCGCGGTTTCTAGTTGAAAAATAATTGTGTGTGACTTTTACATACTTCTATTGAATCTAAATTAACACCATTGGGATAGTTCTAAAGAAGCGACAGATGAATTAGAATTTTTTCATTTAGGTTCCCTCAATTTACTCCGGGTAAGAAAAAATGCATACAGTTTGGTATTGTCATGGTAAAAGACAACGGCTTTTCCGTTCAACAGTTCCGGTCGAGTATTTTTACTAGCTTCTTGTGGTCTTATTAATTATTCACGGTGACGATTGGAATCAATTGTCCTGCTAAGCGGCACTAACTCATAATGTATAGTGTCTTCCTACCGTCTCAAGACACGTAGCATTACCTATGTTCGCTGCCGTTTGGACCTTGTCACACTATTATCACAATTGACCTTAACTGGAGAACGTTGTGTTTCTATAGAATTTTAGAAATGCCCAAGTTCAATCCGTATGAATCTGCAAGCCGAAATTTCTAGCTTTAGATTTAGATTCTTTACTCAGGCTGCTTCGAATAGTTTAAACATCGTTGGTAATGGAGGTTTATTTATTTACCGATCTTATGCCTACCTCTCATGTCGGTCTTGTTCAACTTCAATCACTTGGCCACTATGAGGGGCATTTTTCACATTGAAACTTGCAAGGACGAGGCAACAAAACCATCTTTGAACCCCTTTCTGAGAACACATTTATAAACCTGGTAGAATTGCAAAATATAGCGAATTTTGCAGAAGCTTGACTCATATTCGAGGCGCTTTATTTCAAGTCTGAATGAAAAATTTTAGTATTTTTTCCGCCACCGAATCTCAGCTTCCGAATGGCATCAACGTCAAATTCACACGACCTATACTACTTCAGATACGTGATTTTGAATATATAGTTAAAAAAAGCGTTAGTACTTTTTCGACGGCTTTCGTTTGAAGACTATAAATATTTTTTGCGGTCTAGAAGCTGGAGGAAGACCGACCGCCGTCACCTCATAATGATAGCAAACGTATTATCAATGGGTGTCCAACATTCATTAGGGTACGAGCGGTACCTATAGGCGATGAACGAAAGGGGCTGCTGTCACCTCATTACAGTGTGTACCTATGTATAACATAAATGCAGAATATCCATTTTGTTATGATAGGGCGTTGGATGTCGATTATTTGTCAATAATTTTACACAGTAGCACTGATTTTTCAGACGGGACCCATCACTTCTGAAATATGGTATATGACATACTGATATGGCACTGTACCATGGGGATGATTTTCATCCAAATTTCAAAAACGAATATGAAGCTGTGACCGAGTCCTAGCCTTAAGGACACCATGCAAATGATGGAGCAGGTATAGGAAGATGTCGATAAAACAACGCTATTTCAATAGTATCTTATCTTCGTTGCTCGTATAAACTGCCTTAACGCCGAGTGTATATAGTTGTGATTAGGTTTATTGGACCTGTGGGTGTATGCATATGAATAGCATTCGCTACCCTATGTATATGGAAACCGAAGGGTCTTTATATAATAATGTGCGACTTATATGTCATATATCAGTGTTTATGTGACAATTAAGATCGAAGCAATCGTCGGAAGGAAACTGGTGACTGCTTGTTTGTTTTTTTCTTCCTCTCATATGACTGCGATAAGATGGTTACTTGTCCCTTATGCCTCAGCTTTCGCTCTGAAAGAATGTTTTACCGAGCGTTTTAGATATTTATTGTTAACACTTAGTGTTAAAAACGTGAATAGTGAAAAGGTATCGAAAATATAAGGTAGAAGGCCACGAGATAAGGGGAGTCGATAGCTGATAACGCATCTGAGAGCTTGAAACTGTGACAATGTTTGGCACAGGTACGAATGGGATATTTCGGTTAATGCAACTATACAGCGGCCTGGTGGTAGGCTCAGCTGCAGTCCTCAGACAAACACAGGGCCAGCTAAAAAGTGCGTTGAGCAAAACTTTAAATTTGACCCTGAATCAGCCGTTGTTTTATAATAAGGTTCTGTGGGACCGCTTCCCTAAGGCGTACGATACTCAAATTTCGTAAAAGCTTTGAAGGGTCGGATAACGAAGAGTCTGTTTTTTGCCAAATACATTCACCGAGATTCTATAGGACCAGCGTTGTGCTTAATTTATTCACCGGCCAGTTTTTTAAATAGGTATCCTCAAAAAAATACGTTTTTGGCTAAATCGGCACCATACGGGCGACAGAATATACAAGCAAATTTAACCTAACTGCTAGTGATATTATTTCGTCGGTAGGCCACTTGAGGCCTGGATAGGGCGAGCGTCTGTCGTTTTATACTTGTATTTGTTCCACTGCTGTGTGATCACGTAATTGGACTGCTAAATGTTATGACTTCACTGTGAGAGTTTACACGTTATACCATCTTTTCAAATATATTATAAGTCTGGCAAATATATTATAATATGGCCTCGTGTGCTTACGCGTTCGGCTTACAAAAGTGCTTTTTCTTGTGGGTTGTACATAGCATGCATGGAAACGAAAGCTGCTTATTTACCGTATAATTACATTTCTCACGTAGCTGATCCATGGCTATACAGATTTTCAATGTAGAAACGGAAAATTACGGATGTAGTCGGATGGTTATGTTAACCAATAAATACACTAGACTCTGTTTTTCATACGAACCGATCTGTCAAGGGTAAGTATCTGCTCTTTTATAAGACGGTAATGTAGGACGGAACGTCTTACACTCTGACCAGGATAAAGCAGATTAATCGAGTAGGCTCAACGACAGGCCCACCGATAAAAGGCACAGCGTATCAGTTGCCAGCGAACTGTCGAAAGCTAAGGTAGATATCCATATCTATAGACGAGTTTATACATATAGAAATTTTCAGTTTCATCTGTGACTAGTTAAGCTTTATACAGCAGTAGTAACAAGTACCCATATAAACGTACACCTGACCCTCGATAGCGTGACCACACAAACAAATAACATATAAGTAATAATACATTGATATAGTTGTTTACCTAATCATAATAGATCATTTCTACCAGCTATTTCATTTCTCATGATGATAAGGTCGCTTCATCACTTACGGCTTCTCTATAATTTCGTACCTATATAGGTTAGCCCAAGTGTTACGTTTTTGTTGCCGAACTTCATGACGGTGGAGCTGTTGGGCTTGTCTACTCAGCTACAATTATGAAAAAAGCTTAGTATAGTATGGTGTGAGTACACGCTATTACTTTTATACCGATAATAATTCGTCAGTACGTCATATTGGATAAATTCATTTTCTAATAAGGAGCCATTTTTTTTTCTTGTGACTAACATGTAAGGCTGGTTTAGCAAGCAGCCTTGTCCGTAGCTCAAGATAGCTACAATGCCTTGTGCAGGCTGCAAAATCCAGTCAACCCGTTAGATTAGTTCGTGTTAAAATTAGAGAAATTTAATTTTGGAGGATGTTTAGAAGTGTCTAACTGGTTTTTTTAACTATAGATTCCATTTAGCAAGTACCAAGTGGCTTTTGTCGCTAGGCCTAGGGGCCTTAATTTGTTATTTATTGGGTCAAATTCGAACCATTATGAACTCTACTAGGCATAACGGACGAACGTGCATCTGTTTAAATCTGTTCGTTTAATTACACTACTTTGATGGCGTCCTCGATTTTTGATTACGGTTATATAGTCCATAATGTAAAGGCACTGCCAGTCCTGAAGCTTGTATTTGGACCTGTTATTCTCGCCTGTACGTCATCGCCTCAACAACGAGCTAACTGACGCTGCTCTTTCTAACATCGGGGCCTTTCTTTTTAGAATTTTTCAATAACAAATAAAGGCTACCTTTTGCGATCTTGCAATCGTTGCTAGATAATGGCAGCTTTGAATTTTATCAGATATTACTATATCCACTTTATAGGTGAATGTCTATTGTCGCCAATTTTATACTAAGCAGGCACACAATTGACTATATCAAATAAACAATGTATTAACATTTAGATTACATTGTGAGCGTACGCTTATTTCGTTTCAAGTGTGACAAGTCCTGTCTCAAGGGTGTTCCTTAGTTTTCAGGCAGGCGATCCTGTGCCTTTTAATACATACATCATCGGCACTAAGTTATTTTCTAATGATCAAGCATTTTTAAATCGTTGTAAACGGAGCAACAGGTTTGTCCAGGACTGATTCTCCGTGCGCTGAACAACATGCGCATGGGGTACAAAAACTAGTTTGTATTAAGTTTCCGAAACGATACGCGTACGTTTTTCAAGTATTGTTTACTCATTAGGTTTGCACATCGAAAAGTCTAACTATGGATAGCTAGC